AAAAAAATATCCTGTTTCTTGTGACACTCTGCTTCTGTGGTCAAATATAATTTGTTTATGCTGCCAGAAGTTGGTTTTTCAAAATGAGCATTTGATCCAGAACCTAACGGTTTCTCTTTTACAAGTCCTCCTTCTTCATCTGCTCCACTGGCAGTCTCATCACTCGCTGGGGCACGGAAAAGGCAGTGAGTTCTAGCAAACTGGTGCTCCTCTGCAACGGGCTCACTTTCAACAGCTGCTTTATTATACACAGACTCTACCTTTCGATTACTTTGAAAAGAACCTGAAAGACTCTCGCAGCTTTCATTTTTAGTTTTCTTAGTTTGAACTCCTTTCAAAATGGTCTTTTCTTCCAACTTTCTAACCCTCATGGAGTTAGCATCAGGAACACTTCCATCTTCTTTCAAAGGAGTAAGGTTGGATAGCCCTCTGCTCTCTTGCAGTTCTGAACCACTGGATGGCAGAGAAAGCATAGCTTTCTTCAGCCCTTTCTGTGTCCTGAGTTTCTGGTTTGAATTGTTGCCATTCTTTTGCACTGGGGATGGGAGAGCTTTTGTGCTACAGTCTTTGTATCTTGATTTGAAGTCTTTTTTTGGAAGAATGGTAAAGTCAAAATCTTCTGGCTTAACAGAAGTCTCTCCATTTTTGTTTAGAAACTTAATAAGTGAACGTTTGGATCTGAACTTCAGTCCTTGAGGGCTAGAAAATGAAAGGAAATTTAGTTGGTAAATAGAAATAAAATGCACAGGTGACTTTTCATTGGGTTTCTAAGGCTGCAAATCATGTGGCAAGGGACTACTCATCATTCTCTTGAGGAGAAGCTAGTGAATTCGAGATGGTAAAAGGGTACTTTTGAGTGGTTTCCTTCACGGTCGTATAATTTTATAAGTAAAACTTAAGCAGCTTCACCCTCATAGCAGGAGGGATGAAATTTTTACAATTGCTCTCAAACCATTCATTATAATTAGCTAGTGACACTGAAGGGTTAGAATCCAAAATTGTTTGGGTTTTTTTTTTTCAAAATTGTTTTATGGGAAGAAAATAAGCCAAGATTCTGGTTATGCTACTTTACATGCTTGGGGGGGAAAAGTAGTTCTGGGTGTGCTATCTTTAACATCTCACATACTCACCTGATAAAATATATATCAAATCGTCCTGCTGTTTTCCCAGATAATCTCTGCTTCACAACTCTTTCCCAACCACAGGGGACAGACTTAGGGCATTGTGTCATGGCAGTGCCACCAAACTGTGTTGAAGCAATGGGTTCTTGGAGCAGGGAATTACACCTGTTGCTGTTTTTCACTTCTTTTTCTTCTTCATTTGTCACTCTTTCTGGACCCACAGCAACATCTCCTTCACTGGAAAACAAAGTGCAAATGATTAGTTCATTTAAAACTTACTTCCTGCTGCTTATTCAACTTCGGTCTATGATAAGTGAGATATATTTAAGTGAAAACTATTACACAAACTTAACACCAGTATGGCCTAGTTAACTCAAGATATAGTACTGTTTAAAAAAGTCAGTGAAACATTCCTCTCCTCAAATAAGGGAGGTGAAAATTTTACTTTATTTCTGAGGTAGAGTTTCCATCATTATCAAAAGATGCTGTAGCCCTCCAAAAGGTAAATAATTTAGGGTACAGGATTTTAAATATTTCATACTGACCTTCATGGTAACCTTTTGTGGTAATTAAGACAAAGATTATTCTCATTTTATAATAAGTAAAAAGAAAAGATTATTTGCAGAACTGATACCAGAATCTAAGTCTACAAATCTTGGTTTATTACTTCTTCCCCTTATAACGAGAAACTTAATTCTGTAAACTCTTAATCACTAAATCACACATTTTTATTATCTGAATTATAATTCAGATCAGTAGCAGAATACAGTAAGGACAGCTACTGAAATGTGCACACAGACACCCCACCCTTGAACCTCATAGCTTTAGACCAGTGTTAGAAAGTTCTGAGTCCTTCCAGTCCTCCTCCTCACCCTGCCCAAAGTATCCAACTAGCTTGGGCAAAGGCTCTTAGTTTAGCTCTGCTTCTGTCCATGGGAGGTAATAAGTCAACTCCATCTCATGTCCAGTCTCTGGTCCTCCACTCTGGCTGTGGCTGCTGCTGCCATAGCTAGAGCAAGAATGTCTTCTCCTGAAGGGCGTCCTACATTTTTTTGCTGCTGCTTTTTTAAATCACACATTTTAACATTTGAATAGATAGGCAGCGATCATCTAGCTCCACATTTTTTTTTTAAAGAAAACAGATGGGGAAAACAAGAGTGCCTAAAACTAGAATCAACGTTTTCTGAGTTAATTCAGAGTAATTCTGGGGCGTTGGTCAGATCCGATGAAATTATTTCAGAAATAAGGAAACCAAAACCTAATCAAGCAGCATAAACGCTGAATAAACTGCACTGAAATCTAGTTCTGCCATTTAGTAGCTGTGTTCAAGAGAAAGTTCACCCATGAAAGCTTCGGTTGGTCACCACACCCCCACAACTGCTCCACAGAAACGACGACTGTGGTTCTTCTGTCATTTCGCATAAGGCCTGACTCTGGGGCTGCCCTGGCTGCTTCACAGGTGAATACAAACTTCAAGTCCAGTTCCCTCAACGTCTTCTAAAGAAACAACCCGAGCAGATCTCTAGCTCCCTTCTCTCAGATCACTACTTTGGGAAAGGATGAAAGCTGGTGCCACTGAAATGTACCTGCGCTCCAGCCTTGGGTCCTAGGAACTGGCTCTCGGGGTCTCTGTTGAACCCAGAGCATCAAGTTAGAAAGACCCACACACCTTCTACTATACTCTCTTATTTTACAGGTGGTGAAACTGAAGCCTGAAAGGGGCCAGTAACTTGCCGAAGGTCACATGGCCGCTCTGAGACTCGGTGTTCACTCAAGGCGACGGAGGGGTCATCTCCGCAGGCCCCCAGGCTCCGATTCTCCATCCCAGTCGCGCTTCTAGAGTTGCAGCAAATAAGGGCAGCAAGCAGGTCTCCGGAGCCGGAGCGTGTTTTACGTGGAAGTGATGGGCAGTCCGGCGCCGAGGGTTTCTGGCCAATTGCTCAGTCGCAGGCACCCTGTTTTCCAGCTCAGCCAATCATATAGTGCATCACAGAATCACGTGCCCCTCTGGCGCACGCGCAGTGCATTCTTCCGTTCCCATTTCTCCGTTGTTCCCTTTCCAGCACTCTCTTTTAGACATGCACATTGGAAACCTGTAACTGCGCGCGGCTTACCACGCATGTGCGTTGCCAAGGGTACCGAAGGTAGCCAAAGTGGCCCTCGGAGGAGAGGCCCTTGCTGTGGCGGGGAGGAGGGGTCCGAGGCGAGAGGGAAGCTGCGATGAGGGCCGTGTTGACATGGAGAGATAAAGCTGAGCAGTGGTGAGGAGAGGGGCCAAGTGGGAGGAAGGGAGGCCGAGCGCCGGGGCGGAATGGCTGCAGCCATGGTGACAGTCACTGTGCTGCGTAGGGCAGCGGGCCTGCGGCCGGGGTCAGCGAGACCGCACCCCCACACCTCACTTTGCGGATCGATAAACCGAGGCTTTGAGAGTGGTCAGAGGGATGTGCCACTCAAGTTTGTTCCGGAGCTTTTAAATCCCAGTCTAGGGTTATCCCTCCCTTTCATTCCATCATGACTCATTTTACACTTCCCAAGGTGGTGGTGGTTATGTGCCCTCGAGTCATCTGCGACTCTGAAGCCTGTTGTGTCCTGAGCCAGACTCATTGACTCCGACACACCTACCCCGCAATGTCACAGTTACTATGTCAATCCATCTCATTCAGGGTCTTCCTCTCCTACGCTGTCCCTCCACTCTTCCGAGCATGATGTCTTTCTTTAAGGTCCCTCATGGCCACATGCCTAAAGTATGTGAGACGGAGCTTCAAAATCCTAGCCTCCACGGAGAAACTTGGTTTCATCCTCTTCAAAACAGACCTGTTTGTTTTCTTGGCGGCCCATGGTATGTCTAAATCCATCACTCAGCAGTACTTTTGGGAAACATTGCCTTGGACAGTTCTCAGTCTGACTTTCAAAATCATCCTAGATCATCTTTTCCACTTAATTATGTAGCCTCTGTTTGACCACTGGGACAGGATACTTGCCGTTCTGTCTCTCCTTAGGCATTTCTCTGTGTAAAGCATGTCTTCTTTTCTCACACTGTGAAATCCTAATCACTTTTTGAGGTTTCCTTTGGAGACAGTAGCCCTCACTTGTACTCTGAGCTAGAAATAGCCAATACTATTGTATTGTGACAACTAGGATTGAAGTTCAGCATAAAAAAAACAAAACAAAACAAAGATTCTCACCACTGGGCCAATTGGCAACATCATGATAGATGAAAAAGAGATTGAGATTGTTAACAAGTTCCACAGTCAACACCCTTGGCACCAGCAGTCAGGAAATCAAAAGATGAATTGCATTGGGAAAGTCTACTGTCAGGAACCTCTCTGGAATACTGAAGTGCAATGATGTCAGTCTGGAGACTAAGGTGTGCCTGATCCATGGCCTTTGCAATTTCTTGCTAAGCATCAGAGAGCTGGACGGTGATTAAGAACAATAGAAGAAGAGTTGATGCCTTTGAGTTGTCGGTCTGGAGAAGAGTGTTGAATATTCATGCACTGACAGGAGACAGACAGATCAGTCCTGGAGAGAGTAAAACCAAGCTGTTGCCCGGAGACAAGGATTATGAAGTTTCGTCTCACATACTTTGGGCATGTGGTTAAGAGGGACCAATCCTAAAAGAAGGGCATCATACTTGGAAGGGTGAAGGGACAACGCAGGAAGCTCCATCTCACATACTTTCGGCATGTGGTCAGGAGGGACCAATCCTAAAAGAAGGACATCATACTTGGGTGAAGGGACAGCACAGGAGAGGAAAGCCCAGGATGAGTTGGATTGACTCAAGTGATTGGAGAAGTGGGATTGAATCTGTTTAAGATAATGAGATTGGCTCAGAATAGGACAGGGTTCAGAGTTGTTGTACATAGGTTCCCTATGAGTTGCAGACGACTCAATGGGACATAACAACAAATAGTGTGACAACTGCTAGGCTAAGCACTTCAGATTCATTATTACATTGCTATGTACCATGGACTGCCAAGAAAACAAACAGATTCATCCTAGAGAGGGTTAAACCAGGCTACTCCTTGGAGGCAAAGATTCTGGGGCTTCGTCTGACATACTTTGGACATGTTGCAAGGAGAGACAGGTCTTTGGAGAGGGACATCACACTGGGTAGAGTAGAGGGACAGCGCAGGAGGGGAAGACCCTCTATGAGGTGGATCGATTCAGTGACTGGGGTAATCGGGATGGGTGTGTCAGAGGCAATGCGATTGGCACAGGATAGAGCAGGGTTTAGGGCTGTTGTACATAGGGTCGCTATGAGTCGCAAACGACTCTACAGCACATAACAACAACAACCTTACAACAATAAGGTATAACCCATGGACTGCTGCAAGAACAAACAGGTATTTCTTGGGGAAAATGAAGATAGAATACTCCTTGGAGGCATATGATGATGCTTCATCATACTTTGGGCTTGTTGCTAGGACAGGCTATTCCTTGGAGAGGACCCTCATGCTTGGGAAGGTGGAATATTGGTGAAAGAGAGGAAGATCCTCAATAAGATGGATGATACAGTGACTACAGCAGTAGGCTCAAGTGTGTTAGAGATGATGAGGATGGCACAACATAGGACAGGATTCAGATCCCATTGATCATAGGGTCACTATGAGTTGTATGACTGGACAGCACCTAACAAGAACACAACCATTGAGTTGATTCTGACTTACAATGCTCCTCTATTTCCAAGGCAGTAAATCTTAATGATAAGAGAAGGCCTGTCCTGTAGAGTGCCCAGTGGAGCCAAACAGCCTCAATGAGAAGGATTGACACAGTGAGATGATAAGGATGGCACAGGTTAGGAGAGGGTTCATATGGTCACTACAAATTCTTCTCAACTCCACAGCACCTACCAGCAACACATTTCAATAAATATGGAGCCAAGCAAAATATTTTCTGGCCAAATGCTTTATGATTTGGTCCCTGGCATAACACTTTTTTCTTTGTGTTGCTTTTGTTATGTGTACAGTTGCTATTATACTTTGCTGTTATACTGATTGTGCTGTTGTTGTTATGTGTGCTGTTATTATACTTTGCTGTTGTTATACTGTTTGTATTTTTATTGTTATTTGTACTATTGTTACTATACTTTGCTGTGTCCTGCTGAGCTGCCCTTTGAAATCTTCTGTTCAGCTCTTTTACTTTGACATGTTTTACTTCTGTTTCGGCTTCTCAACGCTCCAGTCCAATTTTTACAGTCTTTTCTGACCTCCACTTTGATATTTTCTTTTTCCTCTGGTTTTTTAACAACCATTTGCTTTCTTCGTGGATGATAACCTTGATACCATCCCACAACTCGTGTGGTCTTCGATCATTGGTATTCAGTGCTTCAAACCTATTCCTAAGATGATCTTGAAATTCAGTTGGAATTGATTCAAGATCATATCTTGATTCCTGTGGACTTATTTTAATTTTCTTCAGCCTCAATTTAAACTTGTATATGAGTAATTGATGATCTAACCCAGTCTGCCCCGGCCTAGTTTTGACTACTTATTTTGAGCTCCTCCAACGATTTCTTCCACAAATGTAGTCAATCTAATTCCTATGCAGCCTATTAGGTGAGATCCATTTGTAAAGTTGTTTGTGTCTTTTAAAAACGGTATTTGCAGGAGTGACATCCACTTTTTAAATAACATGCCCCCAATAACTCTATGAACTTTGATAAATATCGATGGTTGTAGGGGGCTTCAGGTCTTTTGTTTGTAGGGTCGCTATGAGTCATGCTCGACTCAAAGATAACCCACAACAACAACAACAACAATTTGCAATAAATAAATTATTGTAAATACAAAATTAAAACATTTTACTTACAACTTCATTTCTATCACCAAGCCCATATTTTCCAATTGCTATTACTTCTGCACTGTTTCCTGCTTTTGCATTCCGGTTTCTAGTTATCATTAATAAATCTTTTTTTATTGTTTTTTTATACTTGCTTTTTAAATTAAGATTTTAATGAAAGTTTATAAAGAACTTGGTTTTCCAATCATTCATTGTTGCACATTTTAATCCCTGTCCCCCTTCCCTCCCAGATCGCCTTTTTCTTTGAGAAAAAGTTCTTTGATTGTTATACAGACCCCACCTCTACCCCAGACCACATTACTATGAAGCTCTTATTCTGGACTCTTGTCATGCCAATAATACCTAGTCATATATTCCTTTTATACAGTTCTCTCCCTTGTCTGTTTCAATGCCATGTAGATTATTTATCTCCTCTTAGCTTCACCTCAGCCTGCATGTCAGTCCTGTTTTATAACAGTAGCATTATGCCATATTTGTCTTTTTTGTGACGGAGATATTTCACTCAGCATAATGTCCTCCAGGGTCACCCAATTTGTATACTATTTCATGAGTTCCTAGTTTTTCAGTGCAGCATAGTATTCCATTGTGTGAATATGCCATAGTTTCTCCATTCATTTGTTGATGGTTACTTGGGTGGTTTCCAACTCTTTGCTATTGTGAATAAAGCCGCAATAAACATGGGTGTGCTTATATCTGCCTGGGTGGCGGTTATGGTTTCTTTGGGTTGTATTCCCGGTAGTGGAATTGGTGGGTCAAATAATATTTCTGTTCGCAACTTTTTGAGAAAGCACCATACAGCCTTCCATAGTGATTGCACTGTTTTACACTCCCACCAACAGTAAATAAGGTTCCAGTTTTTCTGCAACCTCACAACCTTTTGTTGTTTACTGTTTTGTTAAATTTTGCTATTCTTACTGGGGTGAGATGATATAGTTGTTTCACATTAACACATCTTGATTGCATGTTCAGTCAATTTTGGACTGCAAGATTCGGTAAAAATTCTTCGTTTCTTCCCCTTTGG